GTAGATACAACCGAACAATTGGAACTGATGGCAGTCTTGTAGTGAATCACACGTCACGTTTGTGGCCACTCGTGCATTTGGTGAGGTGGAGCAGTGGGCATTTATGCATCACAACCACGGTCATCATCGTTGAAAGGGCTCATTTGGGTGGTATTTTGTCTGACCTTCCCTCTACCATCCACGTCTTTATCTCCGTTGCACACAATGGACTTCCGGTCGGAAAACACCTCACTCATGGCAAACGGAAGTGCTCCATCCTTTGTCTTTGCCATGACAACCACTCTCCTCCTCCTCATCCTCGTCCCACCCCCACTGGCCAAACGCCCTCCACTCTTCCCTCCGTGGCACAAGAGAGTGCAGTACAGTGCAGTGCACTGCCTCCTCAGATGACTGCAGCCTCACAAAGGAGTGATGTGTGCTGCTAGTCATGTTGGGGTGGTTGTGGGTGCATGCGACAACTGAGTCGTGTCAACAACCCACGTGGTGATTGGATAGTTGCAATCGACAAGAGGAAAGAAGATGTGCGTGGAGACATTGATGACAGCGAAGACTGTGTCGTTGTGGTGAGGTGGACTGCGGTTACCGATGTGTCAAGAATGCCGAGCGTCAGTGCCAGCATTCCCTAGCCAACGTGTTTCCACCGCACCACTCAGCGGTTGGTTCTGACACCTGTCAAATGTGCTTGCACCCGCACAGTGTGCAGAAGGAGGGAGACAACAGAGGACTGCAAACGCCATCCCAGTAACCGTGCACCTCAATGCATCACTCAGTCAATTGGTCAGTGAGTCGATGTGGTCCTCCTGTCAATGGTGAGCACTCGTTGGTTTGCGATCCTCAGAGTTTCAGTGACAACGAGGAGGGCAACCAAACACCGTAAGTTGAAATGTGGCCCACCCACTCCTGCCACGCATACACTGCAATACAAGGCAAAGGTGACGGTGGTTACCGTGGCGGCGATGGTGCCTCCACTCACCGTGCATGTTGTGTGGTCTCTGTCCCGTGCAGCAGTGAGCAGTGAGCAAAGATGCGATTGAGGTGGATGACATGTAGTCTTAGTTGGAATGTAGATGTCTGCACAGGCGAGACTATCGTTTGCCATTCATGCATGCAAAAATATCCG